TAACACTCCCCACTACTCCCTAAGGCTCCCTAAGCTTCCCCATGAACCCCCCCTCCTTAAGAACCCTAACCAAAGCATCCCAACCGAGCACCTGACGACCTCTGCTCGTTGCTTGAAAGCAGGCAGCGCCTTTCGGACACCAAGGAGGGTGCTTATCTAAAGGGGCCTGTTGCCTTTCACTTTAACGGGCCGCTTGGATAGAGAAGCTGACGGGCGAGAAGTTCACATGCACGTGACGAAAGGTGGTGTGCAAGGGGCCTGAAGTGCTGCGGGGTAATGCGAATACACGCGTCGTCCCACGTCGTTCGGTGATGTTGGCTTGGAATCTGGGGGGGGGGGGGGGGGGGGGGCTACGATTGCTCTGACTCATCTTCTCCTGCGGCGTTTCTTGCCTCGGCTGGCCCTTGAAACCTGCGGCACAGATACTTTCGAATCAGAACCTCTTAAACCCAATAAGGGGAGAGCAAAAGAACAAAACCTGTGACAAGGGCCTACGTGACCTACCTAGTTGCTTGCAATGAAGAAGCCGCCGTGAGCGCAGCAGTCGGTGAAACTAAACGAGGGGAAACATCAAACCGTGCCCCAAGACCTACCCAAACCCCAAACCCCAAGCCCCAAACCGTGAACCCTAAACCCTAAACCCTAAACCCTAAACCCTAAACCCTAAACCCTAAACCCTAAACCCTAAACCCTAAACCCTAAACCCTAACCCTAAACCCTAAACCCTAAACCCTAAACAAGCAAAAATGCTTTTGAAAAACCAGCAGCGGCTCCCAACCTGGCCTCGCGCTTCTCTCCAAGTGCGGCATACTGTGGCAGGGCCCGGCCTTGGCAAGGGTTTAGGGTTTAGGGTTTAGGGTTTAGGGTTTAGGGTTTAGGGTTTAGGGTTTAGGGTTTAGGGTTTAGGGGATAGGGTTTAGGGTTTAGGGTTTAGGGTTTAGGGTTTAGGGTTTAGGGTGTAGGGTGTAGGGTTTAGGGTTTAGGGTTTAGGGTTTAGGTTTAGGGTTTTAAGGTTTTAGAGTTTAGGGTGTTAGGGTTTAGGGCTGGGGTTTAGGGTTTTAGGGTGTTAGGGTTTTAAGGTTTAGGGTTTCAGGGTTTTAGGGTTTTAGGGTTTTAGGGTTTTAGGGTTTTAGGGTTTTAGGGTTTTAGGGTTTTAGGGTTTTAGGGTTTTAGGGCTTTAGGGTTTGGGGTTTAGGGTTTTAGGGTTTCCGGGTCTTACCGTTCTTAGGGCCTTGGGGTTTGGGGTTTAGGGGAAGGAAGTATTCTTGCCTGATCTGTGGCCTACTATGTTACCTGAGCTGGTGAGCCTGACATATCGGCAGAGCCCCTTGGCCTTCGTCCAAGCGACCTGCAAAGGTGAAGTACCTGCTATTTCTTGCTGGTATTACGACTACAAATATGTCTCTACTTCACTGAACCCGCTCACAGCATTCATGGACCCTAAACTCTGAATCCTCAGCCCTGTGACCCCTCTTGACTGCAAACAAGTCGGCACTGAGGCCGCGCACGAAGAGACAGTGCGGTTAGGGGTTAGGGTTTAGGGTTTAGGGTTTAGGGTTTAGGGTTTAGGGTTTAGGGTCTAGGGTCTAGGGTCTAGGGTCTAGGGTTTAGGGTTTAGGGTTTAGGGTTTAGGGTTTAGGGTTTAGGGTTTGGGGTTTACGGTTTAGGGTTTAAGGTTTAGGGTTTAGGGTTTAGGGTTTAGGGTTTAGGGTTTAGGGTTTAGGGTTTAGGGTTTAGGGTTTAGGGTTTAGGGCTACACATCCTTTTTGACCCCAGTTGTCGCAAACCTCAGAACCTATTTGCGAAGCCCGAACCTCAAGAGAGCCCTCAACTCAACACCTAAACCCTAAACCCTAAACCCTAAATCCTAAATCCTAAACCTGAAACCCTAAACCCTACACCGAAAAGGGTCTCTCAGCAGTGGGCGGAGATCCAGGGCCGTCTCCTTAAGGCCGCCGGAGATGGAGCACCACTTACTCAACTGTTCTTAGGGCTTAGGGGTTTAGGGCTTAGGGTTTAGGGTTTAGGGTTCAGGGTTTAGGGTTTAGGGTTTAGGGTTTAGGGTTTAGGGTTTAGGGTTTAGGGTTTAGGGTTTGATGTTTGCTAGGAACTGGTTCCAAAGTCGGTTCCGACACAAGCCACAACAAAATCTCAACAAAATCTCTGCATCCAGAAGCCTAAGGTGCAGGCTTATCGAACCGAGTGGAATTGGGAGTTTACCATAGTAAGGGACCCCTAAAATATCCCAAAAACAACATCCCCTTATCATGAGGACCCGAACAAAGGCAGGAAACACCCACTTGGGTTGCATCTGTATGAGGATTGCATGAGACAACATTGGTAAGTACGTATTCCCGGAACCCTAAACTGGAAGCGAAGTCCATCAGCAGTACGGGGGACGGGAGGGCCAACATGGGGCAGAACCACAGACTGCACCCTGGGCTAAGGTTGATTCCCCCTTATACTAACAGTCCTTAATAGGTGTATTATGATAGGGGGTACTACAATCCCTACTAAGGCCTGTTAGTATACTTCAGAACATCCCAAGGTCTAGGGTTTTATAAAGGGTTGGATTTACTGCGGAGTCCTCTTACCGACTATTACCTGGATTGGTGACGGTAGGCTTCAGAAAAGTGTTGAGTCTTCAACCTGAAATCCCCTCCCGAAACTTTTTAGGGTTCAGGGTTTAGGGTTCAGGGTTTAGGGTTTACTTGTAGGGTTTCGGGTTTAGGTTCAGGGCTTAGGGCTCAGGGTTTAGGGTTTAGGGTTTAGGGTTTAGGGTTTAGGGCTTAGTTTTGGGGTTGAGGGTTTAGTGCGAAACTCGAAACCCTAGATCCAAGGCACCATGGTCTCCACGCTCATGTCGACCGCCCCCGCGAGCTCTAACACGACGTCCTCGCCTGCTCAGCTACTAGGACTCCCCTAAGCCCGAAGGTGTTAGGGTTTAGGGTTTAGGGTTTAGGGTTTAGGGTTTAGGGTTTAGGGTTTAGGGTTTGGGTTTAAAGTCTAAAATTTTGGGGTTTAGGGTGCCGGGTTTAGTTTAGGGTTTAGGATTTAGGGTTTCGGGCTTAGGGTTTGAAGGCGTTGGGGGTTGACCGCTTCGGGCTTCGGAAGGCGCGAAGAGGATGAGAAGGGGGCCACCACGGCGCCACTCGAGGAATGACGAGTTCCCCCAGCAAACGAGAAAACAAATACCTGAGGTCATAATTCGGAGCCTTGATGAGTTACAAGGCCCTAAACCTTACTCCCAGAACCCCCCCCCCCCCCCAAAAAAAAAAAAAAAACAAAAAATCAAGTTGGGATGTTCCCCCTTCTCCTAACAGTCCTTAATAAGGACTACAAGTGACGGTTACTAGAATCCCTATTCATGACTGTTAGTATAAGGGTGAACATCCCAGCCTGGCACCCTAAACCCTAAATCCTAAACCAGAAGCCCTAAACCCTAATCCCTAAACCCTGAACCCTAAACCCTGAACCCTAAACCCGAAGCCCTGAACCCTAAACCCTCAACCCTCAACCCTAAACCCTCAACCCTAAACCCTAAACCCTAAACCCTAAACCCTAAACCCTAAACCAGAAACCCCAACTCCGAAACCTCCTCAGTTGATGTGCTTTGGGCTCCGTCTGGGCAAGGGGAGCGCAGCTGGGACTCACTTCGGTGGGCTTTGAACTCTCACCGGGGGGCTCGTGAGACGCCAGAGGGCGCGCCCTTTGGGAGAGGCTTTTAGGGTTTGAGGGCTTAAGGTTTAGGGTTTAGGGTTTAGGGTTTAGGGTTCAGGTTTCAGGGTTTAGGGTTGAGGTTTGATAAGGTTCGGGTTTTAGGGCTGTTGGCATCTTGGGGTTTTCCCAAAACCTCGAAGCCCCCCTACCCTGAACCCTGCAAGTTCAAAGTCGAAACCCCCTGACCCCCTTCCCAAGCCCTTAAACCCCGGCAATAAAAGCAAAACAGACAGACACACACACACACACACACACACACACAGAGACAGTATCCATGTATATCTATATATATATATGTGTAGATACACACACATATATAAAACACATGTATACACCTATATATATATATATATATAGAAACACACATTCGAATTAATATGTGTATATACATATATACATACCTTCTGCCTGCCCCTTTCAGAGCGATGTGCGGTGACGCCGCTGATTTCCTGCCTTCGGTCATCCACTGCTCCTGGGTTGGCTTTGCCAACCCGGTGAGACCAGCGCCCGCAGCAGGCCGGGGGTGGGGGTTTAGGGTTTAGGGTTTAGGGTTTAGGGTTTATGGTTTAGGGTTTAGGGTTTAGGGTTTAGGGTTTAGGGTTTAGGGCTTAGGGTTTAAGGCTTAGGGCTTAGGGCTTATAGGGCTTATAGGGCTTAGGGTTTGGGGTTTAGGGTTTGGGGCTGAGGGCTTAGGGCTTAGGGTGTAGGGTTTAGGGTTTAGGGTTTAGCGCTTAATGAGTAGACCCTACTTAACACGACCATACGAAGAACCCTAAGAAAACACACCTCCTAGATGTTAAAAGTCCTCCACAGTAGAGAATCTTTGGTAGTATCTTCATTTTCATGCCAAGATGTTTCTGTGATGTCAAAAGGCTTCAGGCGATATCTTCATCTTCATCAAAAAATGTTACTGCGATGTTATGGGCTTTAGGGGCCTTCGGGCCTTGGATTGAGGTTTAGGGTTCGGGGTTTAGGTGTTGTGGTTGTATACAGGCTGAAATGAGGGTTTATAATCGACTTGACACATGACGCTGTCCTCACCCCGGCAATGCCTCCGCAAATGCTGGCCGATTGACCAGCTGTGAAACTGCTCGGCTCGGCAACCTACAGGACCCCCTGTCTAGAGTTTAGGCTTCAGGGGTTCCGGGTTCAGAGGGGTTACTAGACCCTAAACCTCGTTTCAAGGCTAAGGGTTGTGGCGTGCTAAACGCCGGCGCCGTTGATGCGAACGTTCTTCTGAGCACTCGGGAGGTGTCGGTGCAGCGTAGTGCAGGGAGGTCTCACACGCGCACCTTGCTGTCCTGCGGATAGCCATCACTCTAGGGGTTTGGGGTTTGGGAATACGCATCACTCTAGCGCGGGAGCGCCTGCACACAAAGTACCCATCAGCAGCTAGACTACAAACGACAACGTGCTAACAAATGTGGGCATGTCGTTCTCAATGCATACTAGCTCACAGCCAGTCCTGAACCCTGAACCCTGAACCCTGAACCCTAAACCCTAAACCCTCAGCCCCCAAAACAAGGCATGACAACTGGGCGCCGATGCTTTTGGGCACTTCTTTGCAACAATCTGGAGTAAACGGCGGCAGCAAATCTCAAAGTGCGACTCCCCTGTGTGGACGTTTAGGATTTCGGGTTTAGGGTTTAGGGTTTAGGGTTTAGGTTTAGGGTTTAGGGTTTATGGGGCCCTGCGAGGTAAAGCAAGACATGGTAAACTAAGTGCAAACTTTGCTAGTGAACTGCAACCTCTGCAGCCTCCAGAAGCCCAGAACCTCTAAACCTCTTTGGGCCTTTTGAGGTATCCCCCAAGATACCGGCAAACAGGCACCCTAGTGTAAATACCATTCAACCCTAAACCCTAAACCTAAACCCTAAACCCCAAACCCCAAACCCTAAACCCTGAACATTTAACACCAGCCGGCTCCTTGTCCGGGCAAGTGCCGGCCCAATTCCGCCGCGCCAGCGTTGAGCCGCGCATGCGCCCGTCCCAGCCAGAGTCCTCGCTTAGGGTTTAGGGTTTCGGGTTTCGGGTTTAGGGTTTCGGGTTTCGGGTTTCGGGTTTAGGGTTTCGGGTTTCGGGTTTCGGGTTTAGGGTTTAGGGTTTCGGGTTTAGGGTTTTAGGGTGCTGAACCGAAAAAAAACTTGAGATTTTCCCACGCATGAGGATTATAGTACCTTTTCATATAATCCCTACTAAGGACTGTTAGTATAAGGGGAACATCCCAACCCAAAAGCCTAAACCCTCTAAACCCTGGACCGTTGTTCCGTAAGCAATGACGGACTCGTGAATAGTGGTGGTAGTTGTGGTTCCACAAAAACTCCTTGATTACATACTAACCCACCGTAAGCTGTTGGAGTGTCTGGACTTAGATAATCAAAAAACAACACGTTGAATGCCCCCTTCGTTTTAAGCAGATTCTACTACAACTTGAAAGTGTGCCCCTAAACCCGAAATCCTGAACCAGATTACCGGAGACTCCTATATCTAACTTCAACGGGGTCTGGGTGAGCAGTACACAGACGCTACACGACCTGCAGAGCTCTGTCGGTTCAGGGCATTTAGGGTTTAGGGTTTAGGGTTTAGGGTTTAGGGTTCAGGGTTTAGGGAACCGAGAAGGACCCACACACCACAGCCCTGTGGCTCAAGCCTCAAAACCCCACATCCTCAGTGCGTCTTGAATCCAAGGTTGGAACGAAGGATTTAACCGTGGGGCCGACGTGTGGTCCCTGACCCTCTTGAGAGGGATCCGAAGCATGGGCCCTTGAAATATACAGTGTATGTAAGGGTTCTATAGCAAGGGACGCAAATTTCAGGGCCCTACTCGTAACCGCAGATCGAAGCCCTGCATCTAGGAAGCCCTCAACCCTGAACCCCACTAGGGAACCATGCTCCCGAAACCTGTCAGGAAACCGAAGACCTGAGATTGTACCCCACGGCCTCGCCAAAGCGACGCGTGGCTAAGCCGTGGAACGGCGAGGCCTTGCGGCATTTGGGCATTTTTTGCAAATTAGGGTTTTGGGTTTGGGGTTTGGGGTTTAGGGTTTAGGGTTTAGGGTTTAGAGTTTAGGGTTTAGGGTTTAGGGTTTAGGGTTTAGGGTTTAGGGTTTAGGGTTTAGGGTTTAGGGTTTAGGGTTTAGGGTTGGGGGCTTATCCGTCCTTTTGTCGAAACCTAGGACCTCTTTTTTTCAAGCCCTCATGTGGCTATGCTTTTTTGGCAAGCAAAGGCACGTAGAGTAAGTCCTGGAGTGGGGTTGTTTAGCCTTAAGCTTTAGGGTTTAGAGCTTGGGGCTAGGGTTTAAGGGTCAAGGGTTCAGCAGGCCCACGTGGCAAAACTAGAATCCCCCAAGCCCCCGCCCCAACTCCAAACCCTATGCTATGTGAAAACCCAGGGCATAAACCATCAACCCCTAAACCCTCCCAACACCCCCCCCTGACCCCAAACCCCAGAATTCCGAAAACCCTTAACACTAGATTCCAGAAACACTAGACATCCCTAAGCCCTAAACCCTAAATCCTGAACCCCCCCCCCCCCAATCCCTAAACCCTAAACCCTAAACCCCAAGCTGGAGCGCCTCTGCGCCGTTGGCACCCGGGAGTAAGGAGGCGCCAGCGAGGGCCTGCTGAGAAGCTGCGTAATGCACGTTCCCAGGGTTTGGGCATGTAGGGTTCAGGGTATTAGGGCATTAGGGTATTGGGGCATTCGGGTTTACAGTTTAGGATTTTGGAATTTACGGTGTAGGGTTTAGGGTGATGGTTTAGAGCTTAGGATCTGGAATTAGGGTATTAGGGTATTCGGGTATTCGGGCAATAGGGTAGTAGGGTATTAAGGTATTAGGGCTTCGGGTTTCGGGCTTGGTGTCTAGGGATTCATGGGTCTGCGAGCTGGGGATATAGGACTCAGGGTGCAGGCGTCGCGCGTCCGAGGGTTTGAGACTTCATCGTCATGCGGGCTTTCGGGCATAGGGGTCCCTAAAACCCGAGGCGTAAGTAAGATGTGGGGGTTTCCGAAATTAGGGGTACCTTCTTGGGGTCTTTGGGGGACAAAATTAGGGCCCCTTATTTCGTCACCCCTCATGTAGGGTGTACTAGTAAAACCCTAGACAGACCCTATACCCTGAACCCAAAACCTTAGACCCTAGACTTCTCGCGGCTGCCCTGCCTTGGGGAGGCTCTGCGTTCTATGCAACGTCGCCTTCTGCTCATTCCAGTCCTCGGCTACATAAGAGCTCAGGAAACTGTACCCGAAACCCGAAACCCGAAACCCGAAACCCGAAACCCTAAACCCTAAACCCTAAACCCTAGGGCTGTAGGGTTTAGGGTAGCGAAGGCTCCCGGAACTTCCAGAACTCCGACCTTGGGTTATGACCCCCGTCCTCCTGGGTTTACGGCTAAGGGTTTACTGGTTTATAGTTGGGATAGGAATAAAAATTTAAAATTCTATTCTTATTGAGTTTAAGTACCCTTAAAAATGTAAAATGTTATCCCACTATGACAAAGTTTAGGGTTCAAGATGTAGGGTTTAGGGTTTAGCCTGTCCATGGGGGATTACGAAACCTCCTCAAACACAAGCTTCAGGGGGCGCTACTGGAAGGTGCACGTGTAAGGATATACTGATGATAACTCCAGGGTACCCCCAAGTTGCGTACTTTAAATCTACTTTCTAAGTTTGCCAGGCCTTCAAGCAGCACGACTCCCAATCTTGCTGAGAATTGCTCTCTACACACCAGCTTCAGATTGGAGCTGTCATTGTTTCATTCTAGGTCAGAGCGCACGGCCTACTTCGGGTAGATGGTATCGCTCAAGGCCCTGGCAAAAACTATAAGGGTGCAACGTGACCGCCACGGTTTGTTTTCAAGCTGAACAGCCAGTACCACAAGCGCTGCCGACGCTGCTCCTGCTGGAAGCAGCCTGAACCTTACACCGCCCGCACCCTACACCCTAACAAGCCCTGAACCCCAAAAACCTTAAACCTAGCACTAATCCGTAAGTCCGCCTGAACACAAACCCTAACTCCTACACCCTACACCCTACACCCTACACCCCACACCCTACACCCTCACCCTTCCTTGGCCTTGCTGCGCCCAGAGCTTGCCAAGTACTTGGGCAAGGCGGCAGCTGCAGCCAGCAAGCGGGCAGCCCTTGGGCCGTAGTCCGGCTTCTTGAGCCCTCGCTTTGGCCACTTGAAGCCGAAGCTCTTCAGGTACGAGACGTCCTGCGCCGGAAGCTTTGCGTATCCATGGTTCACGAAGAAGATGATGCAGAATCGCTCGCCTTGGAAAGGGCAAGTCGCGTGAGGGATGTTCCCATCGAACTCGAAGGAGCGGCCACTCACGTTCACCTTTCCTTGGCTGCACTCAGGAGGGTAGCTATAAATTAAACTTTTAGCTGCCTTAATAAAGAAACCCAATAAACCCAAAAAAGGGTAAGGATCTAAAATAACAGTAAAGTACCACAAAGTTTCCCTGACCGTGGATGTAGAGCGCGCCACCGCTGAAGGACCCGAGGCAGGTAATCAACGATGGGCCCAAGTTGCTGGCGTCGCAGTGTAGTGCTGTCGCAAAGTTCTTGTTGATCTGGATGGTGGTGAAGGCGACTTTGGGCGCAACTGCTGTGGCAATCCGGCAGAGAGCCTGGATCAAGCCACGATGGCGCTCCATGCTCGACCTGTTCACTGAGTAACCTTTTCTCATGGACAAATTCACGCCAACAGAAAGCCCTGAGGCAGCCATCCCATCCTCGCCAATCACATTGGCGCGGCTTGCAGCGGGAAGCGAGTAGCTCGAAGAGCCGTCAGGGCCCGTTTGCCTTGCGCGCCTGGAAAAACGCCTGCTGGGAGTCTGTAGGCGGCGCTTTCGCGTTTTCAGGCGCTGGCCCCAGTAACTTCTTTCAGGAGCTTCCGAGCCCAGTGAGGATAAGCAGCAGGCGCCTTCAAGATCGTCTCGACAAAAGCAGCTGAGTATCGACTAGCCTTGGTCGTGGCGGAGCCCAGCGTGGGCAGACCCTTCGTCTTTGCCAGCTTCGACTCTGTGCAGAACCTTTCCTCCAACTCACGACGCTGGCTGCTTTCGCTTGCCTTCGGCTTGGCTGCAGCCCTCTTCCGCTGCGCCTTCAAGGCATCCCAGTGACGGATGCGCGCCGACAGCTTGGGCACCGTTTGCAGTAGCCGACGCTTAGCAGCTGGGTATGGTGCGCCTCTGCACGCCGTCCAGCCCCGACCCGCCATCCACTGCTGCTGCCGGTTCAGGAAATTCGCCAGCGTCCTCTCTTCTCCCTCTGTGCCCTGGGCCGGCAAGCGGCCATTGGATCGCACCCAGGCCTTCAGCTTCAAGACCGTCTGGTGAAAAGGAACCATGGGGCCAAAGCTTGCCGGGCTTTAAGGCTTCAGGGCCTTACAGGGCTCGAGCGCTTGGGGGTTCAGGGCTTTAGGGTGGGGGAGAGAAGCTGGGTACGACTCTTCCCTGGTCCCGATGGAAGCAGAAGTGTTGGGAGGTTTGACTGGAGTTTCTGAGCCAAGAGATGTTGGGCTTGTAGCGACAAGAAAGTAGGGCAAGAGCAGCAATGTGCCGTTGGCTGCGCAGAGCATACCTTCGCCCCAGAAAAGCTAAACTCCGCGCAATCGCCCTGAGCATGTTTCATGCCAAGTACCCGAATCCTCAAAGCCCTAAAAACCCGAACCCCTCAAGCCTTCAAGGACAAAGGGACCAGTTAAAAAATGCTTCAGCTACCATTCTCGGCCCTCGGCTTGGATAAACCTCAGGGCCGCACCCTTGGGTTTGGACCAGTTTTTTTCCATCCCCTAGGAAAATACCTACGGCCACGTGACGACCTTTAGGGTTGAGGCTTTGGGGTTTTAGGGTTTCGGTTCAAGTCTGGAGCCCTTGGGCGATTCTTCTGCCCAAGTTCTCCGCCAGTGTCCAGGAGCTTGCGGCCGCCTTTGCACCAATTCCTGCGCCAAAGGGTCCCTAAACTCCTAAACAACCCCCCAAACCCCTAGACCCTAAACGCCTAAAGACCTGAACCTCTCAATTTCTGGGACCCCAAACCCTACGCCTCTCAATCCCTGCGAGCCTAAACCCCAAACTAACCCATTTAGGGTTTAGGGTGTAGGGTTTAGGATTTGGGGTTTAGGGGTTTGGGGTTTAGGGTTTGTGGTTTGGGACCTCTCATGCCTGTTCTTCCCTAAAGCCTAGCTCCCCCTCTGACGCACTGAATATTCGGGCTTCGGAGTTGAGGGTTTCGGGTTTAGGGTTTAGGATTTGGGGTTTAGGGTTTAGGGTTTAGGGTTTAGGGTTTAGGGTTTGGGGTTTAGGGTTTAGGGTTGAGGGTTGAGGGTCGAGGATTCACTTCAAGCCCCTCCCCCCTCCCAAGGAGGCAATAGTCGCCTTAATGGGGCTCAAGCGCCCAGCTGCTGCCCAGGCGCCAGCCCTTCCGTGCCTCTTCCGCCTCCTCCTCCTCCTGGCCCACTTGAAGGCTTTAGGGTTTAGGGCTTAGGGTTTAGGGTTTAGGGTTCAGGGTTTAGGGTTTAGGCTTTAGGGATTATCCCGATTCGGGATTAGGGATTGAGGCTTGAGGGATTGAGGGTTACCAAAGGTGCTCAGGGGTTTAGGGTTTAGGGTTCAAGGATTGAGGGTTTACTTAATCCCTGTTCCCCTAGGAAGAAAAAAGGATCCTTTTTGTTCATATATAAGAAAGCCCATAACCCAAAAAAGCAAAAAGGATCCCTAACACTGATCTAGTTTAGGGATTTGAGGGTTACCCAACAGAGCCCTTGCAGGCAAGGAATGGACCTTGACCCCGATGAATTCAGAGCATTGGGCTCTCCCCTAAACCCTAAACCCTAAACCCTAAACCCTAAACCCTAAACCCTAAACCCCGCCGAAACCGGCAGCCAAAGCCCCCAGCCTTCGGTGGCACCGGCTCAGGCATGAAGTTCTTCCTAAGGGTTTCGGGCTTTGGGTTGAGGAGTTGTTCTCTAAACTAGGGTCCCTTCCAATTTTCTTTTTTTTTTTGGGGGGGAGGGTCCTTATTTACACGCCTACACCCTCTGCCCTCTCCCTCAAATTAGAAATGACTCCTTATACTCCCGAAGCAAGGGATATTGGAGTCTCTGGGTAGGTCCTATGAACCTAGAACCTTCGACCTTCAAGCCCAGACCTCAAGATATGGCGATGTGCAGCCTTTGACTCCGTTTCCCCATTCGGGTTTAGGGTTTAGGGTTTAGGGCTTAGGGTTTAGGGTAACTAAAGAATTACCGGGAACCAGAATGTGTAGTCCCGTGAGACTAAGTCACGGAACCGCAAGGAAACGAGGAACATTCAACGAATCAGCACAGAACTCCATTTCTCAGCGAGCAACAGGCCACTTTTCATATTTGGCGACAAACCGACAAGACATTCATGCACAAACGTGTGAGATGTGTCCTCTCTCGGCCTTCCATCGTGCTTCCTCTCCATGTTGGGAACAAAGTCAACAAAGCACGAGACCATCCAAACGAGGCCAAAACCAAGCAACACAAGCAGCGAGAAGAGTTCTTCCTCAGACTCTCCTTGATGGTTTCCTCGCCGGTAGGAGCAGGATGGACCGCATGTAGATGATAAAAAACACGCTCCCTTCGCGCCTCCATTCGCTCGGCTTTGTGTGTCCCTGTCTTTGTGGAACGGATGCGATAGGTAGAGGATGTGCTCTGTGGAGTGATATTTCCCCCAACCCCCCACCCCCAGCCGGAGATGGAATGGATAACATCAAGCATCAAAACTAGTCCTAAAAGACATGCAGCCTCCAACCAAGAACCTTCCAAGTAGCCCAAACAAACACACAACCCTAGCCGCCTAAACTCGAATCCCCTAGACCCTGAAGCCCCATAAGCCCCTCAAATCCTCGCCCCCGCAAAAACTACTGGTTCTTAGCAGGGAATGAGGGAATGAGGTATCCTATATAATCCCTGAAAAAGGGTCAATAGGGGGATACAAGGTACCTACATTCTACTAAGAACCCAGGGCAAAAACGCGTTTTCAAGGTAGTATAATGGCCATATTCGGAGTATTTTGAAGTGACACCCTAAACCCTAAACCCTAAACCCCAAACCCCAAACCCCAAACCCTAAACCCTAAACCCTAATCTTTTCTTGCCGCAGCTCCGCTCCACCACCTTGTAGCGACCCCGGACGGGGCCGCCCTCCTGGGGCCATGGCTTGGAGGAGGTCTCTGATAGGGTTTCGGGTTTAGGGTTTAGGGTTTAGGGTTTAGGGTTTAGGGTTTAGGGTTTAGGGTTTAGGGTTTAGGGTTTAGGGTTTAGGGTTTAGGGTTTTAGGGTTTAGGGTTTAAGGTTTAGGGTTTAGGGTTTACACAAGTGTCATGGCCTTTAGTGTTTAGGGTAGTAGGTTTAGGGTTCAGGGCTTGGGTTTTCCTGGGTTTAGGGCAGTTGAAAGCCGCACGGGAAGATTCGGGGGGTTGCCCCTTTCGGGTACCCGAACCCTAAACCCCAGGTCCTGAAGCCGAACAATCCTACTTCAAGGCTCAGGGAACTTTGAAGGTTGTGTATCAGGCTATAGCTAGAACGGCCCATCTTTGGCTACCTTTTCAAAACCGACTTTAAAAGATCCCGGAGCCCTAAACCCTGAACCCTACACCCGAAACCCCAAAAGCCTAAATCCTAAGGTAGCCCTAAATCCTAAACCCTAAACCCTAAATCCTGAACCCTAAAACCCTAGGCCTGTTCGTCCCTTTAACCCCAAAACCCTAAACCCTAAACCCTAAACCCTAAACCCTAAACCCTTTGCAGACCTGCCTGGACTGGAAGGTCCAAGCAGGAGAAGTCCACATTGAGCTCCTTGAAGCTTTCCTTCTTGGGCTTAACCTGAAAGCATGGCGGTTTAGGGTTTAGGGTTTCGGGTTTAGGGTTTAGGGTTTAGGGTTTGGGGTTTGGGGTTTGGGGTTTGGGGTTTGGGGTTTGGGGTTTGGGGTTTGGGGCTTGGGGCTTGGGGCTTGGGGCTTGGGGTTTGGGGTTTGGGGTTTGGGGTTTGGGGTTTGGGGTTTGGGGTTTGGGGTTTGGGGTTTGGGGGTTGGGGTTTGGGGTTTGGGGTTTGGGGTTTGGGGTTTGGGGTTTGGGGTTTGGGGTTTGGGGTTTGGGGTTTGGGGTTTGGGGTTTGGGGTTTGGGGTTGGCTGCCAGGTTGTCGGGTACTGGGCTTTGCGGCTTACCCCACTGGGGCATCTTAGGGTTTACGGTTGCTAGGGTTTAGGGTTTTAGGGCTTTAGGGCTTTAGGGTTTAGGGTTTAGGGTTTCGGGGTTTGGGGTTTTCGGGCTTTAGGCTTGTCGGGTTTTTTCCGGTGTTAGGCTTCTGGGGTTTTCGGGCTTTCGGGCTTGAGGGTTTTAGGTGTTTCTTAGGGGTTTAGGGCTTTAGGGTTTAGGTTTAGGGTTTGGGGATTTAGGTTTTAGGGCTTTAGGGTTTTTGGGTTTTTGGGTTGTAGGGTTTTAGGGTTTTAGGGTTTTAGGGCTTTAGGGTTTTAGGGTTTTAGGGTTTTCGGGTTTCAGGGTTTCAGGGTTTCAGGGTTTTAGCTTTTTAGGTTTTAGGGCTTTAGGGTTTAGGGCTTTCGAGCTTTGAGGTCTTTAAAGGCTTGAGGGTTTAGGGATTAGGGGGCCCAGGCAACCCTCAACGCACAAGGCGCCTCGTCACTGAAGAGGATGCTCAGGATCTCAGGGTCGGGGTAGGTCCTGGGCAACACAATCTTTTTGGGGGTTTTAGGGTTTGGGGGTTTAGGGTTCAGGGTTTTGGGCTTTGGGGGAGGGGGGGGGGGGGGGGGTGGGGTTAAGGGGTTTAGGGCTTAGGGCTTAGGGTTTATAACTCTTAGGGCTGCTTAGAGAAGTGGAGGCACCGTTGCACCTAGGGTCTGGGCTTTAGGTTTAGGGTTTAAGGTTAAGGGTGTAGGGTTAGGGGTTAGGGTTTAGGGTTTGGGGGGGTTTGGGGGGTTTGGGGTTTGGGGTTTGGGGGTTTGGGGGTTTGGGGGTTTGGGGGTTTGGGGGTTTGGGGGTTTGGGGGTTTGGGGGTTTGGGGGTTTGGGGGTTTGGGGGTTTGGGGGTTTGGGGGTTTGGGGGTTTGGGGGTTTGGTGGTTTGGGGGTTTGGGGGTTTGGGGGTTTGGGGGTTTGGGGTTTGGGCTTCAAGTGCAGGCTTCCTCACAAACGTTAAAAGCGCGATCTCGTCCCATCCCCCTCCGGCCCGCACAACCCTGACAAGTGTTGGGCTACAGCTACAGCGTCGTCTACTCCATGAATCAGAGCCCTAAACCCTTAAACCGTTAAATCCTAAACCCAGTTTAAGGGTTCAGGGTATGTCAGCAACAGAGTTCTGCAAGTAATGTTATGCATGCGGGAAGTTGGGCCTATCCTTATTGTAACCTAACTCCTTGTCGAGAACCTGAAAACCTAAAACCCTGAAAGCCTACACCCCTAAACGCTAAAAACCCTCAGCCCCTTCCTGACCGGCCTAAAACCCCTAAACCCCGAAACTCCAAAACCCTTCTCAACCCTAAGCCCCTAAGCCCCTAAGCCCCTAAGCCCCTAAGACCCTAAACCCAAAACCCGAATTCCTAAACCCTAAACCCTAAACCCTAAACCCCCTAATCCCTAGACCCTCAGCAGATCCTCGTCTCCCCCCGCTCCGCGCGCAGGAACATCTCAACCTCCATGGCCCACTGCTACGAAGCTTCACCCTTCAACCCTACACCCCTTTAGGGTTGAGGGTTGATGAGGGGTGAGGGTTTTTTGCGGCTGGGTGCCTAGGGCTTAGGGGAACCCGAAGCCTCAAAACCCAAACCCTAGAGGGGGCTGGGATCTTGGGGACCTAGGCCCTCAAATGTACTACAAGAACCTACAGAAAAGGATTACGTATGAGCCCTCGTAGCATCAGAACCCCAAACCCCAAAATATCCATTGAAGCGCAACAGGCCCCAATGCTGAAGGACTCGGGGAATCTAGTAGGTTGTACCTCAGTTTATAACTCGTTTAAAAAGAACAAAGCCCACTTAGTCTGCTTACAGCCGACTACAAATCAACTAACCAACTTCCGTGAGACCTAAACACGACACCGCAAACCTACTTACTGAGTTCCCTGAGTCCTGACGCCCAGACCCAAAACCACAAGCCCCCAAAACCCTCAACCCCACACACGAAAACCCTAAACCCCTAAAACCCGAAAACCCGAGACTCCTGAAACCCTAATTCCCTAAAGCCTAACACCCCAAAACCCCCAAACCCTAAACACCCAACCTTTTGTAGGAACTCGCCTTTGCATCTGACACCGCGGCCCTGAGTTGAGGGTCAACGACCTGGGGGTCTTAGGAACTACAAAGGGTTGTTAGGCTTAGGGTTTAGGGTGTTAGGGTTTTAGGGTTCAGGGTTTGTAGGGCTCTAGGTTTTTTGGTCAGGGTTTCCAGGGTTTAGGGTTCAGGGTTTTAGGGTTCAGGGTTTTAGGGTTCTAGGGTTTCGGTCAGGGCTTCGAAGGGTTTAGGGTTTCGGGGATTCGGGGCTTCAAAGCTGGGCCCTTTTGTGTTCTAAGGGTTCTGGTTTCCTATTGTCGGTCGGGTGGAAAGCCCTAAGACGTGGTGCTGAAACGTCAAAGTGCCTTTCGGGACTCCAGAAGCCGTTAAAGAAGGTGAGGGAGCGTATCAAGGGACCATGTAACTATCCTTAGAATGTCCGGAATGGCAGGGGTTTGGGGTTTAGGGCTTGGGGTTTAGGGGGCCCAAAGAAGGAACCCAGGGTCGGGACAAACTTGCGGTAGGGGTGTGAGGGTGGAGGTAGAATTCCCCAAAAAACCTCCCTAAACCCCCGCAAACCCCCAAATCCCAAACTCTAAACCCCTAAACCCTGAAGCCCCCTGAACCTGCGCCCCCTGAACCCCTACACCCTAAACCCTAAACCCTAAACCCTAAACCCTAAACCCTAAACCCTAGACCCTAAACCCCCTCTAAAAGATCCCATGTCAAGAACGGGATGCCCCATGACCCCCCAAGCTTACTGTTGGTTGGTAGGGAATCGGGGAATAAGGAACCCATATATAGTCCCTTAGTGGGTATATATAGGGGGATTTAGGATACAAACCCTCAACCCTAAACCCTAAACCCTAAACCCTAAACCCCAAACCAAACCCTAAACCCTAAACCCTAAACCCTAAACCCTAAACCCTAAACCCTAGTCTTCCCCCCATTCCCTGCTAACCAGCAAGCAAAGAGAGTTTCAGCCCCGGGCCCAACGGTCGGGGTCACAGTGGCAGTTCCGCCGGCGGTGGTCCTTGGGCAGGTCCCAGGTTGGCTTTGGGCCCTAAACCCTAAACCCTAAACCCCAAACCCTAAACCCCAAACCCCAAACCCTAAACCCCAAACCCTAAACCCTAAACCCCAAAAACCCTGAACCGTATACTCCCCCCAAGACTTCTCGGGATCCTTGTAGTGGTCGGCATCCTTCACGTCGATGTGGTTGGGAAAGTGGTGCGGGTCTGCTCTCGTCGTGACGGTTTGGTAGCTGGTCGCCTTGGGGAATCACGGCTCGGCTTGAGCTTTAGTCCAGTTTCAGATTTTGGGGGGTTGAGGGTTTGAGGGTTGGAGGGTTTGAGGGTTTGAGGGTGGAAGGGTTGGAGGGTTGGAGGGTTGGAGGGTTGCAGGGTTGGAGGGTGGAAGGGTTGGAGGGGGTTTGAGGGTTTGAGGGTTTGAGGGTTTGAGGGTTTGAGGGTTTGAGGGTTTGAGGGTTTGAGGGTTTAGGATTCATTCCTTTTAAGGGTTCATACCCAAATGAAGAGCCAGTACGAAGAGCCCCAGAATCCCAAAACCCTAATCCCTAAGCCCAACAGCTCTACCCTCAAGCGCAGAACCCCACAGCCCTAAACCCCATCTAAGAAGTCCCTCAGAGCCCTACACCCCCAAAAACCTTAAACCCTAACCCCCAAAAAGCCTTGAGCCCAAACCCCAAAACAAGCCCTAAACCGCCAACCCCAAACAGAAGCCTAAACCCTACAGCCCAAAAAGACCGCAATAGAGCCTGCCACCCTCCCAACCCCCCCCCCCCCCGCCACAGTTTGGGGTTTAGGGTTTAGGGTTTAGGGGTTGAAAGAGAGTAGGTTCTAGGTACGCTATGTTGCGGTTATCCCAGCCAGGACCTCATCTCCTCACTATGCCGCAGAGCTGCGAAGCCCTTCAAACTGAAGGCCTCAAAAATGGGCCGTTTAGGGTTTAGGGTTTAGGGTTTAGGGTTTAGGGTTTAGGGTTTAGGGTTTAGGGTTTAGGGTTTAGGGTTTCCGCGCGGATGATCAGTCAACCCCCCAGGCCCTATCCCTGAACCCTGAAACCACACACCCACCAAACCCTAAACCCTTCAAGGCCCAACAACCCTGAACCGAAAAAGTGAATCTTAAGAAGAACCTCAAGAGTCGACACATCCAAGCACCCGGAAGCCCAAAAGGAACACACCCCAAACCCCAACAAAGCCTCTAAGACCACTTCAACGAACCTTTCAAAAAATCCTACGTCCCTGCAGAAGCCGCAGAGAAATAACGACAACGGCAGCGGCGGCGACTATTCGCAAGCCCAAGAGCACTTGAACCCAACCCCTACACATGCCACAAGAAACAACACACTTAAAACGCCTTTTTTTGCCACGGCACGGTCTGGTTGTACTTTCGATTCACCATGAGGCCTGACCTCGAGTTCAAGGTTTGGGCTTTAGGGCTAGGGTTTAGGGTTTAGGGCTCAGGGGTTAGGGCTTAGGGCCTAGGGCTTAGGGCTTCGGGCTTAGGGCTTAGGGCTTAGAGCGTAGGGTCGGGACGGACTCCATTTTGGGTTTCAGCGTTTTGCGGGGTTGTGATGGGTGCTTGGCTTTTGGTGCTTGGGATGTTTTGGATCATAACACTTCGCTAAACCGGCCGAAGCCCCAAATCCTCTAAGCATTGACTGCACAACCCATAGATCCCAAACCCTACAACGTTCTGGGCCCTGAGTACTAAAGAAGCCCGAAGTCCTATGCCCTGTGTTATGCGAGACTCCTCGTTCGGGTCCTGGGTTTGGGGTTTAGGGTTTAGGAGTCGGAGTAGGAATCCCAGCAAGCCCCAAAAGAAAAGGATCTCAGGCGACAAAGAACCACAGGAACAGCCCTGAACCCTAAGCCCCAAACCCTAAAATGGCCCTATGCCACAACACCCTGTCGTTTGAGCCCCGAAACCCTAAAAATCCCAGCTGGGAAGGCTTACTGGCTGCAGCCCTCGAGGCCTTCGAGTGGTTTGTTTAGGGTTTAGGGTTTAGGGCTTAGGGCTTAGGGCTTAGGGTTTAGGGTTTAGGGTTTAGGGTTTAGGGTTTAGGGTTTAGGGTTTAGGGTTTAGGGTTTAGGGGTTGTTTAGGGTCAGCCTGGGGCTTCCGGCGCGAGATTTTGAGGCTGGTAGCTTTCGGGTTTGTCAGGGTCCCCCAAGTTCGGCACTTCGGGGCCTGAGAGGCCCTGAAATGAAGCCCCCTAAACACCCCTAAACACCCCTCAAACCCTAAACCCTAAACTCCCCTCAAACCCTAAACCCTAAACCCTAAGCCCGATTCAGCGACTCACGGTTCAGGGCTTCCGGGGGCAGAGGATCGGATCTCTCGGCAGGTTTTGCTCAACAAGGGCTGGCGGCGGAATCCGCGGTCGACGAGCTTAGCTCGTCCGAGGATTCCCCGGAGCTGTCCGCCAGCGACTTGGAGAAGGGCCAGAGGCAGCCCTGGCAGAAGCCCAGGTTCTCCTCGCGGTTGGGAAGGGAGCCTCAGATTGCCCGTCTCAAGACCCTCTGAAAGATATGCCCTGGAATAGAAATCCTCTTAAACCCAAGAAGGTGAAAAGCTATTCCGAGATATACTCCTCTTAAACCCAAAATAAGGGAAAACTTATCCCAAAAAGTAAACCCTAAACCCTAAACCCTAAACCCTAAACCCTAAACCCTAAACCCTAAACCTAGGAGCTCCCGGAGCTCTGAAGGCCGATCTTCGACCTTCGCAGGATCCGCCCGACCTGGCGCGAGCGCGTGTAGCCATCGACCCACTCGGCGAACAAGCCCACCTCGGCGCTGAAGACCAGCTCCTTACGGTTTAGGGTTTAGGGTTTAGGGTTTAGGGTTTGGGGTTTGGGGTTTAGGGTTTAGGGTTTAGGGTTTAGGGTTTAGGGTTTAGGGTTTAGGGTTTAGGGTTTAGGGTTTAGGGTTTAGGGTTTAGGGTTTAGGGTTTAGGTGGCTCTAGTAGGGTATGAGGGCAGCGCCCTTTGGAATTCCTTAAAACTGCACCACTCTTGGGGGTGCTATTCAAGATGACCATCTTTGCTTCCTTCTTGGGCTTAAGCACTCATGAAAGAATGTAAACATGCTTTGCAACAATGACCCCCAGGACTCCTGCAGATGAAGGTTGAAGGCCTCCACATCTGCAATCTTCGACAGGATCATGTCCTTGTCAGCCTCGGAGGAGGCCGAGCAATGGCGCACGTCCAGCAGGGTGAGCCGGTCGTAGTTGAGGTCCACGGCTTCTTGGGATGACACCTGGATGGTCGCCTGCATTTGCAAAGCACTGGCCTCAAAGATCTCCGCGACGCACCACGCTCGAAAGAGGACGTCGAAGGTATCGTCTAAGACCACGAGCTGCCTGAAATTCGCGACCTCCGTGGCCAGGTGCGTCATCATGTCATCGAACTTATTCAGCTCACACCTCGCGTCGCCATGACTGACATGCTTCTCCACGTTGCAGTCGCACAGTGGATACACCTTGCCTGTGACCGAATCATGCCTCTTCATGTTCCTGAGTTGTCCAGTAACCTGGGGGAATTAAAGGTTAACCTTTGGGATTACAAGGGGACTCTTTCTTCCCCCAAAAAAGGTTAAAGGTTGCTTACTCTACTAGGGCCTTTGGGATTACAAGGGGATTTTTTTCTTCCCCCAAAAAGGTTAAAGGTTACTTACTCCACTACTAGATTATAAGGGGATTCTACTACCCCAAAAAGGTTAAAGGTTACTTACTCTACTACTGGGATGCCATTCCTTCCAGGCCCGGCTTTTGGGAGGTGGCTCGGGCCCGAAGCCGGCGCAGATGCTCGCATGCTGGTTCACGGAGAAAGCACAGACCTGGCTCAGGGTTGGGATAATATTAACAATATAGATTGTTATTTTACTCAGTGGGCTTAAGTACCCTTAAAAATGTAAAATGTTGCCCAACTACGACAAAGAGACCCAGTAGCTGGTGTCCAACTTGTTGGCGAGCTGCGCTCGGACTTGAGCGAAGCCCGCCTCCGTGACAATCAAGGAGCCCACGTCCTGGTAGATCCGATGGTCCAAACAATCCTGGGCTTGTATACATTGTTTATTTGTCTTTTTTACTTATTGTAAATTTATATTTATATTTGTTTGTTAGAAATGTATAACTATATGTAGGTTATATGTACATCGATACTTGCTTTTGAGTCTTTCCTTGAAAAAGGCGCCGCAAAGTCATCATCTTCCTCATTCTGGAGAACATGAAACGAAGCATTCCCTAACAGCATCCCAGCCACCGCCAGTATGGCTGCAACCAGCTTCCCGAAGCCATTGGCCCAGTTGTGCGTCACCATGACTTGCGGCTTGATGGGGTCCTCCGACCAGAGGGACGCCAAGGCGCACCCGCCATCGCCGGAGCGAGACTGGGGAATGATGGCCAGGCGCACCACGTCGTTCGTCGAGGAGCGGCGTGGTTCGAAGCTCCTCATCATCCCGTCCTCATCGAGCAGCTGCTCCCAGAAATCGAGTAAGGAGTTGAGGCGAAAGCCACGGTTCGCCAGCTGCCCCACAACCTCGTGGTAGACCTCCTGCTCGTCAGAACTCAGATGAGATGACGCGGACACCAGGGATCGGGCACGGGCGCGGGAGCTCATCTCGCTCATCTCCTCCTCGGCGGGCGGCTGCTCTTGCCACAGAATGCCTGAAAGCGCGGCTAGCCCCAGGCAATTGACAACCCAGACCGAACAGCGGGCCCAGCTCGAAATCGACATGATCTTGACGTTCTTGAAATGGCCGGGTTCGTGCAGCTCTGGATGCAGCATGAGCTGGAACAAGAAGATGTCGCAAGGCAGCCAGGCGAAGCATGAGATCGTCCCCAGCGTCGCCCAGATCAGCAGCTCCACGAAGAGAACTCTTCCGGCCCAATTCGCCTGCTTCCTCGGAGGTCCCCTCACCCTCCTCGCCTCGCCAAGCACCCGGCAGAGGGAGCGAAGCAAGATCATGCAGATGGTGAAGGTGTAGGCAAGATACATTCCGATGAAGAGCGCCAGGGCGAAGGCGCCGACTGCGTAAGAGTCGTGCAAGCCGGCTCCGAAGCTCACGGCAGAAAAGCCGACTGCGGCGATCCAGAGGTGAGGGCAAGCCTAGTTCATGGTTGGGATAGTATTAAACTTTTAAATCTATATTCTTTGTTGGGTTGAAGTACCCTTAAAGATTGAAAATGTTAGCCAACTATGACAAAGAAGCAGTGAACACGTGCTGAGAGCTGATCTCGTCCACGCGGTTCTGGAAGAAGTAGACAGCCCAGCCCAGTAGGACACTTTCCAGACTACTTTCGACTCCTTCAAAGAAGAGAAACACGTTGCCGAGGTGATATGCACCGGACGCTTGGGTGATCTGGCTCAATACGGCCAGAAGCCAGAATCCAAGCACACACCATTGCGCATCGTTCGCGCAGGTGGAATGCGGATGCTTTGAAAGAATGCAAGCAATCCAGGTGGCTGAGAGCATGGCCAGAGCGACCAGGTACACCCAGCGGCGCGGTAAATTGGGAACCCCCGGGCCCAAGGCTGGTATCAGCAACCAGGGGTAAGTCGCGACATACGCAGAGAAAAGTGCAATGGTGGTGCAAACTGCAAGCTTTGCAAGCTTGAATCGGAAGGCGAAGTGTCTACCGGCATCGCCGGGAACATGGACAACTCCCAAGAAAAGGCCGGCAGCTACCCCGGAGTACGTTACCCAGTCGATGCTTATGAACAAGCCGGCCAACAGCAGCAAAAGGAGGCCTCCGAGAATGCGATATGCCATCTCAGGTCTCCAGGAAAGGGCTCTCAGCCCAAAACACTCTATGCACCCCTATGAAGCCTCGAGAACCCGTAAAAAAAAAGCCAAGCCCTCAAACGGGCTTCGGGGTTTGGGGCTGGGGTGTAGGAGCTTAGGGTTGGGTGTTGCTTAGTGTAGAGACTGATGCAGGTTGACATGGGTGGTTGGATGATACACACACACACATATATATATATATATATGAGATACCTAAATACATACATACATACATACATACATACATACATACATACATACATACATACATACATACATACATACATACATACATACATACATACATACATACATATACATACACACCAATGAGTTCACCGTGATAGGGTTATAAAATACATAACTACGGTCTTCTCGAGCTGAGCAAAATATCTGCCAGGATTGTTTACGGCATTATGATGTCGATGAGGCAGTCTGAGCCACAAGTGCCTTTCAAGTGGCAACACAAGCATCACAACTTAGCGCAAACCGGAGGGATTGCTCAACCCCAGCCGGAGCCCTGAACCCCTGAATCAATAAAAGAAACGCAAACCCTAACCCCAACACTGAACCCACAAACTGGAAACCCCAAACCCATATAGCCGGGTCTTCATCCACACAAGCTACTGGTCGGGTCTACGGATTCGGGTCGCAACTAAGTCGCAGCCCAACGGGCTTATAGAGGCACTCAGATTGAAATTTGGGCTTCAGAAGTGTGGAGTTCAGAGTTGGGGGTTTAGGGCTTGGGGGCCCCAAAACCCTAAACCCTAAACCCTAAACCCTAAACCCTAAACCCATAAGAGTTTACGTGACTGGGTTTGAGTTGTTTAGACTCGAGGGCTGCGGGCTTGAGAGCCCACTGAAACAGTAGGCTCCCTATGGCACCGGTTTTGTCTTGAGGGTTTAGGGTGTAGGGTTTAGGGATGTTTAGGGTTTAGGGTTTGGGGTTTAGGGTTTGGGGTTTAGGGATGTTTAGGGTTTAGGGTTTAGGGTTTAGGGTTTAGGGTTTAGGGTTTAGGGTTTAGGGTTTAGGGTTTAGGGTTTAGGGCCTGAGTTTGAGCAGTCTCAGTAGATTATAAAGTTGATTATTCAGTCTAGCATCCCAGGGGGGTTTAGGCCGCCTAGACCCTTCTTGCTAAGTCTCCTAAGCCTAGACTAGATCCTACACCCCAGCCCTAAACCCTAAACCCTAAACCCCAAACCCTAAACCCTAAACCCTAAACTCTCCACAGGTTCCAAACCCCAAACCCTAAATGTGATGCGTTCGGGGCTTTGGGGAGTTTAGGGTTTTAGGGTTTTAGGGTTTTAGGAATTTAGGGTTTTAGGGTTTTAGGGTTTTAGGGTTAGGGTTTAGGGTTTAAGGTTTCGGGTTTAGGGTTTAGGGTTTGGGGTTTAGGCATTTCGAGGGTGTTCGGGGCTTTGGGTTTCAGTAGTTCAGGTTTGGCAGCTCGGCGCGGGTTTAGGCTTGGGATGTCCGCCCTTACACTAACAGTCCTTCATCAAGGACTGTTAGCAAGGGGTTTGGGGATGAGGGTTTAGGGTTTGGGGTTTAGGGTTTAGGGTTTAGGGTTTAGGGTTGAGGGTTTAGGGTTAGGCTCAGGGTTGGCAATTTGGGGCCGAGGGTCCGAAACCCGAATCTCTGCATTCCGAGTCGCGTCATACTCTGCTCCTTTGCCGAGGAGTTCGGCTGGCTATGGACTATGAACTATCTGGCTCTTCATGCACCCAAACAAAGTCCTTCTACCTGAATGCCTAAACCCTAAACCCTCAATGAACTATCTGGCTCTTCATGCACCCCAACAAGCTCCTTCTACCTTAAACCCTAAACCCTCAACTCTAAACCCTAAGCCCCAAGCCCTAACCCTAAACCCAGCAGAAACCAAACATCCTGAACCCAAACCGATCGCCTACGTGAGAAATACTGTAGCACTGTACCTCAGATGAGGCCAGATTTGAAGGCCCTAAACCCTGAACCCTAAGACCTAAAACCTAAAACCCAAACCCTACACCAACAAAAAAACAACGCAAAGACAACTCCCTGAAGGCCAAACCAGGGGCCCTAAACCCCGCAACTTCGGGTTTCGGAGACCCAAAAACCTACTGTAAACCCTAAACCCTAAACCCTAAACCCTAAACCCTAAACCCTAAACCCTAAACCCTAAACCCTAAACCCCGCAACTTCGGGTTTAGGAGACCCTAAACCCTAAACCCCAAACCCCAAACCCTAAACCCTAAACCCTAAACTCCCTCATCCACTGCAAGCTCCTGCACCCAGAATGGCCGCTCCGGTCGGGGAGGCTGCGGCGGCTTTGGCACAGGAAAGCCATACCTTTCGGGCAGTAGGGTTTAGGGTTTAGGGTTTAGGGTTTAGGGTTTAGGGTTTAGGGTTTAGGGTTTAGGGTTTAGGGTTTAGGGTTTGGCGTTTGGGGTTTGGGGTTTGGGGTTTGGGGTTTGGGGTTTGGGGTTTGGGGCTTAGGATTTAGAATTGAGGGTTCAGGGGGTTGGGGCGAGGCGCTTACTTCAAGGTTCCGGGCACTTATGAGGCGAGAATTACTTGAAGTAAAGCTTGCCGACTACAACCGGATCCCTATGCACCCTGCTTGGTTCCCTGGGCCTCGGGGACACGTTGAAAGCTTTCCTGCTAGGGGTGCAGGTTTCAGGGTTTGACACTGAGAAGCTGAAAAGTTTGAGTTCAGAATCTACGTCCAGGACCCCAAAGCCTACATCCGAGGACGAGCCAACTTTTGTGTGTTTTCAGGAAACAGATGCACCCTAAAGATCCCCTGCCAACCACAACAATGAAGCTCTACGACCAAAACCAATCTTAAACCCCAGACCCGAACTTAGTCAGTAAGGTTATAAACAAATACCCAGAGTATATATATATATATACACATATGTATACATATATATATAAATATCAATGCATAATTGGTGCTTACTAATAAGTGCCCTGTGCCCAAAAAAACAGAAACTTTTGGGGCCAGGTTGCCCAATGTGCCGCCCACCCTGCCGGTTTCGCTTTCGCGTCTCCCGGTCCAGCCAGTCCGTGTAGTTGTCGAAGCGGTGGTTGTCAAAGTGCCTCTGGGTTTAGGGTTAGGGTTTCGGGTTTAGGGTTTAGGGTTTAGGGTTTAGGGTTTAGGGTTTAGGGTTTAGGGTTTAGGGTTTAGGGTTTAGGGTTTAGGGTTTAGGGTTTAGGGTTTAGGGTTTAGGGTTTAGGGTTTAGGGTTTAGGGTTTATGGGTTAGGGTTTAGGGTTTAGGGTTTAGGGTTTAGGGTTTAGGGTTTAGGGTTTAGGGTTTAGGGTTTAGGGTTTAGGGTTTAGGGTTTAGGGTTTAGGGTTTAGGGTTTAGGGTTTAGGGTTTAGGGTTTTAGGGCCTCATGAAACTCTTGGCATGGCTCTAAATGGCCCTACCGACATTAGGGGTACCTTAGAGGCGATAGGGGTCCTGAGTATAGGGGAATCCTACTATTTGGGGAGTATATTTGGGGTCCCGTATTTTCGTAAACCCCCAAATCCCAAGCCTAAACTACCCTACACGCCAAGCCCTGATTGAACCCAGGCCCTGTACCCCACCAACAAAAGCAAGCCTGGTAGCACCCCTAGACCTTGATTGAATCCCGTACTGGTCCGCAGGGGGGAGCGGAGGTTTTTTTCATCGAATGTCCGCAAACAACTTGTCAGAACCCGAAAAGGGTATTCACGTCCCCACTCCCCCACTCCCCCCCTGAAGCACCGGCAGGATGTTGGGGTGTTTCGGCTTTAGGGTTTAGAGTTGAGGGTTTAGGGTTTAGGGCTTAGGGTTTAGGGTTTAGGGTTTAGGGCTTAGGGTTTAGGGTTTAGGGTTTCGGGCTTGCTCGACATGCTGCCGATCGGTGGTGGGCTCCACCATGCTCGGCACAGGCCACGGTTTTTGCGGCACCAGGAGCCCTTCTTCCTAACCTCACTTGGCTGCACTCAGGAGGGTAGCTATAAATTAAACTTTTAGCTGCCTTATTCAGAAACCCAATAAACCCAAAAAGGGTAAGGATCTAAAGTTACGGTAAAGTACCACAAAGCTCAAAGCCACCAAGCCCTGATAGCCCCCCCAAAACCCAGAAGGCCCCAAGCCCCAAAGCTTGGCTTAAGACCCCAGAAGCCCTAAAGCTTGGCTTAAGACCCCAGAAGCCCTAAAGCTTGGCTTAAGATCCCAGAAGCCCTCATTTTCTGAGTCTTCTCGAAGTTCAACCCCCGCAAACTTGGCAGCCACAACGAACTGGTTAGGGGCAAGAATTCGGATGGCCCAGCTTCGGGCACCTGCAGCCCTTCCTTAAAGCTGCTTCCTGAGTCTTCTCAAGTAGATCCCCAACATCCCTCCCAGAACAGAAGAGGAGAAGACCGAGGATGCGAAGTTCCAGATGAGTTGGTCCAGGCTTCAGGGTTTCAGGGGTTTCAGGGTTTGAGGGTTTCAGGGTTTCAGGGTTTGAGGGTTTAGGGTTTGGAGTGGGTTCAGGGTTGAGGATTGAGGATCCAGAGACTCCTGTCCAACGAACTGCAATATGGCCCCCTGGCATCTTTACCGTCAAAAAACACACCCTCGACCCTGGACCTGACCATTTTTGTGCTCGGTTTGGGCTTCGGGAGATGCAGCCTCAGGGCTCAGGCTTGCTTTCCGGCTAGAGGGTCTTTCGGCTTGGGTACACACAGCCTAAAACCCTAAGCCCTGAGCCCTAAACCCTCAACCCTAAACCCTCAACCCTAAACCCTAAACCCTGAACCCTAAACCCTAAACCTCCACCCTAAACCCTAAAACCCTAAACCCTGAACCACGGGATGTGAAGCTTTGGGCCCTTGAATGCCAAGGCAGACCAGCAGCCTCGGGTCGCCGCGCCGTAGCCCGCAGCCCTAAAATGGCCCTGAGCACCCCGAAATCCGCCCTGAGAGGAAGCAACCCCCCTACACCCTAAACCCTAAACCCTAAACCCTAAACCCTAAACCCTAAACCCTGA